GGGGCCGCGGGGGAGGGGCCGGGCTCGGTGCGCCGCACGCTGCAGCTGCCACCGCCTCTTCATTGTGTGTGTTGCTGCCGGGGCGGCTTTTCCTGGGGAGGTTTGGGCAACTTGGTCTGGGCGCCAGTAGCTGACTGATGCGTGGAGTTCTTTAGGTAGCAAGTTGAGTCTAGAGCTGTGTTGTGGGTGAAAGTTCACTTTAAGTTGTGGGGGATTCGGTTGTAGAAGTTGTACTTTCATCATCAAAGTCATCGAAACAGAACCCCTACGGAATTTCGTTGGCATTTTGTGTTTGCACGGTAGAAAGCAACCTGTCTGCTGGTCCAAGCAAGTGACCTTAAGGTTTATGTGGCCTATTGGCGTTTGTAATCAAAACAGATTGCTTGCACTTAGTGAATAAATTGCCCTGTACTTTTTTTTTTTTACTGTTTAATTACAGGGTTGAAGTAATCGCGAAGTTACTATTAAGCCTGTTTTTTTTTAAATAACTTTATTTCTAGTAAAATGTTTATTGGAGGCTTGAGCTGGGACACAAGCAAGAAAGATCTGACTGAGTATTTGTCTCGATTTGGGGAAGTTGTAGACTGCACAATTAAAACAGATCCAGTCACTGGAAGATCGAGAGGATTTGGATTTGTGCTTTTCAAAGATGCTGCTAGTGTGGATAAGGTAGGGATGTGGTCTGCACTGTGCCTTTAGTGTCGCCTTTAAATTGCTCCGGGCTTCTAAGCTCCTATCAAACTAACTTGTCTTCCAGGTTTTGGAACTGAAAGAACACAAACTGGATGGCAAATTGATAGACCCCAAAAGGGCCAAAGCTTTAAAGGGAAAGGAACCCCCCAAAAAGGTTTTTGTGGGTGGATTGAGTCCAGATACTTCAGAAGAACAAATCAAAGAATATTTTGGAGCCTTTGGAGAGGTGGGCTGTGTTCGCTTGCATGCATCTGGTGTGTTTGTGAAATACTCGTGGGTGGTCAAGTTTGTGTAGTGGTCATTAATATGCACAGGGTTGGACTCAATACTCGGGCTGCCCTCTAGTTAGTGCATCTTGATGGCTGCTTTCTGCGCTACAGTAGAAGCCTCGTTTAGCAAGAGCTTAAAGTGATGGGTGGCCAACCGGTGGCCGCTCTGGGGTAGAAGATGCTTTAAAAGGATATGGCGACTTATTAGAAAGTGGTGCTCAGTAGGGTGTGCTTGTGATGTTGCTGAGAAGCCTGTGGCGCCTGTTCGCTTCCATTAACTGCTGGTTTTGTTTTGAATGTGCACCTGATTTCAGATAGAAAATATTGAGCTTCCCATGGATACAAAAACAAACGAAAGAAGAGGATTCTGTTTTATCACATACACAGATGAAGAGCCAGTAAAGAAATTGTTAGAAAGCAGATACCATCAAATAGGTTCTGGGAAGGTAAATGAATTGAATTACATTAAGAGAAGTGTGGGTGTGAAAAGCCTGTTTGAAAAGAAAAGTGGTTTTGTGTTCAGAGCTTAGAACATAAGCAAAAATTCTGTTTGTTTTTAGTGCGAAATCAAAGTTGCACAACCCAAAGAGGTATACAGGCAGCAACAGCAGCAACAAAAAGGTGGAAGAGGTGGGACGGCCAGTGGAAGAGGTGGTGCCAGGGGCCGTGGAAGAGGTGAGACTTAATTTGGGGGATACTGATTTTTAAACTGAAGCAGTTAACTGCTAGGTACAGTGGCCCCTAAGAAAACGCAACTAGATTGAATCTTAAGATGATCGATCCCACATGTTAAAGGCTGGTTTGTGGGGAGGTGTTCTGTTGTAAAGTACAGTGTAGAGGACAGAATGTTGTGTTAGCATTGGGAGGGTACAAAGTGGTTTCCTAACCATCATTGTGCATTGTTTCAGGTCAGGGCCAAAACTGGAACCAAGGATTTAATAACTATTATGATCAAGGATATGGAAATTATAATAGTGCCTATGGTGGTGATCAAAACTATAGTGGCTATGGCGGATATGATTATACTGGGTATAACTATGGGAACTATGGATATGGACAGGGATATGCAGACTACAGCGGTAAGAATACTTAACTTAATTTTATAAACCAGTGGCATTAAATTCAGTTTTGAAGTACTTTCCCATTCTGAAGTTGTTTGTGTGTATGAGTTTCCTATTGATGATTGGAGTGAAGTTATGTTGTGTAGTCATAGGAAAGTGACAGTGATGGCTATTTAAAGTTAATTTTAACTATTGGCTATTAAGATGGCTTGATATTTTTAATGTTCAGCATGCATAGTTTTACACAAGGGTAGAATTATATTTTTTATGTTTAAAGGGGCGGTTTTATGGGAAACTTTCTTAGTAAAACATGTATCCTTTCAAACTAGGTCAACAGAGCACTTACGGCAAGGCATCCCGAGGGGGTGGCAATCACCAGAACAATTACCAGCCCTACTGAGGAGGACCTGGGAGAAAGCAGGTGTGTGAGCTTACGAGGAAACATTGGCAGTGTCTAATTTCATTTAAAGATCAATAGACAAATGGAAAAGAGTAAACAAAATATGTGTAGTCTTTACTAAATTGTAAATTTGTAATTGCTTTATGAGCCTGTTTTGCCTAAAGTGTCTATAGATCTTTAACTTTAAAGTCTTACCTCACCTTTTTTAGAATTACAGAAAAACTTAAGAGTTTTTCTGTTTGCTTTGTGTACCAGGAGGTTTAAACTTTTTTAGAACTATTAACAGGTAAAGTACTGAAATGGGTACAACTTAAGGAAAACAAGAATGTTGTCTTCTAACTCTGACATTATACCTTGTTTGTACCCGCCAGCGGGAACTTCATTGCAGGCCGTGTGTCACCCTGACCACGTCTATCTCTGGGGGTCGCACGTTGCGGGCAGAGCGCAAGGCATACACCAGAAAAGGCTGTCCTGTGGTATGGTCTCTTCCAACTTCATGTACCAGCGTAAAGATTAAAGTGGAAACTTCAGACTTTGCTTCTTTTTAATCTTTTTGGAGATTAAGTGTCTAAACTTTAACTTAAATGGTTTTTTGCAGGAGTTAAAGTACATAAATGCCTTTTTACAGCTTAATCATTTTGGTCTTCTGTTTAGTGTTGTATTTCAATTGTGGAGCCTCATTTTAAGTGTCCATTCTTTAAGATTTAATGCTTGCTTTTTCTTTTTATAGCTAATAGTGAAATCTACAAACCAAAACAACTTTTAAATCTGGGATATAAGTTAAAGATCATATGCACAAAGCAATTCGTTGTCGTGTTAATATTCTAAACCTGCCTGAAATTTATATTGGTTGATACCATTCTTCTTGGCTAGCTAGAGCTACGCCTCTAGTTGGCCTTCATCTGCTAGTCTTATAACTGGGAAGATTACATTCCTGTGTTCTAAAGTGAATCCACCTAATATCACTTGGGAACTCCACAGTGAGCTTTTCAAACACCCAAACTACGCTTTGTCGATAAACATGCATGTGATCTTTAATTGTTGAAGAAAAGAATAAAGTGAGGACTTAATTCATGAAAGTGGACCTTTGCAAGCTTGTGAGGGTTGCACACAGCTAATGGTTGTTTTGTTTTTGTTTTAGGAGGTGGAAAGAAACCATCTTACAGGACGACATTGAAGATTGCTTGATCTTGTGTTGACCTAAGATGATTATTTTGTAAAAGACTTTCTAGTGTACATGACACAGTCGTGTCCAACTGTATATAGCTGCCAATTAGTTTCTTGTTTTTACTTTGTCCTTTGCTGTCTGTGTTATGACTCAATGTGGATTTGTGTTTACACAAATTTTTGTTTGTATTATTCATGTTAAACCTCAAATAAATGCTTCCTTATGTGATTGTTTTTCTGCGTCAGGTACTACATAGTTCTGTGGAAATGTAATTTTATAAAGAAGCAATAATTAAGGCGCAGCTTGTTTTATAGGGGTATTGGTCCACAGTAAGAAACTGGTCCTAGTGTCCTCTTGTTCCTGGTTTCTGTAGAGGTGTTCTGTGATGACAGTCTAAGGCTTCATTTCTCTGTTAAGTGAAAGTGAGATTCATTCCATACCTTTGGATGTTTTTCCTGGGGTGTCTGGAGACTGGCACTACAGTCTATTGTGATTGGTGACTCTGTAGTGGGAGCTGTGCTTTCAGACTGTTTGTAAGGGAAGCACCTTGCTGGGCTAGGACTGCCTCGCAGGCACAGTGCTGCTTGAGCTGAGCATCTATACAGCCCTGGTTTCTCTCACCATGAAAGATAACAAAGCTTGTTAGATGGCTATCTGCTTGTTCCTATCTGACAAACCGTGTATGATAATAGATGGCTCTCTGGCTTTAAGAGTTAATGGCTTGTCTGCTAGAAAAAGCTTTAGCTGATCACCATAGCTATTGAGGTTTTAGTACTATAGATAAATAAATGCAAGGGAAAGATACTGTCACACTGGTAGTAGGGGCTTCGTCAGATATGGGATTGTCCTGAGGTTTGGATGCAGTGCAAAGCTGACACTGGTGCATCCATCCCACCATAGTGCATGAGCTAAGTAGATTTAAGCAATTCTGTGTTGAAGCAGAGGAAAGGGGCAGTGGAGAAGATGAGTCACATGATCTATATTGTGGGGCGTTAAAAACTTTCATTAAGATTTTAAGGTAACACAAGCTTTGAGTTTTCCATTGAATGCTTGGACTTAGAAAAGGGGTTTCCACGGTTCCACAGACATTTGTTCAAGTTTAGAGTACTTGGTCTTAGAAGACCAATGTAAGCTTTTTATACTGATGACCTTTTTTAAAATGCCTACAACTTTGTTCTGATATTTGTACTTGCTAGGCTATCAAGTTAAAAATGCACTGGCCTCGTTTTATTATGGCCAAGTACCAGTGTTGGGCTCTTAAAAGGAATCATTGCAACCAAGACAATAGGAGGGAGGCACATTATGTTAATAGGTACAGTACCAGAAGAAGATACCTGTGAGTTCAAACTTACAATTAGGTGACAAGTTGACATTGAGATTGTCATTTTTTCCTGATCAAAATGAATAAAGTCTTTTTAAAATAAAATTTTAGTTAAGTCTTTATGTATGACTTTAAAAAAGCAAAGATGGTTGAGCTTTTTTATTAGGAATCTTAGAGTAAGAATGTACCTGGTCATTGACGTTTTCCCCCATACTAACCAAACTAAGCTCAGAAAGCAGGTGGTGTCTGCGGTTTTGGAGCCTGTCCTGAAACTTGCTCTGAAGACCAGGCTGGCTTATTCATATTTTTCTAGGATTATATTTTCAAACACTTGGAGAAAAGGCCACATAGAGATTACATTATTGTAAAAGTTGAAACCAGTTCTGGAGAGATTTCTCAGTGGTTGGGAGCACTGAGTTCAAGTCCCAGCAAACGTAAGGCAGCTCAGTACCATCTGAATAAAGATCTGGTACCCTCTTCTGGCACACAGGCATACATGCCAATTGAGTGCTCACACATAAATATGTAAGAAAAATGCGTGCTTTTAATCCCGGCATGCTCAGAAGGCATAGGCAGGTGGATCTACAGAGGAAATTCTAGAACAATGTCCAAAGACTGCTACAGAGAAACCCTGCCTTGGGGGAACAAAGTATATATACAAGGTTGTGGTTTCTCAAAGATAAAAGTCTTGAGTCATGGAAGCAGTGACTCGACTGTTAAGAACAAGTGCTGCTCTTGGAAAGGAGCTAAGTTCAGCACTTGCCTGGAACTCCGCCTCCAGGAGTTTCAGTGGCTCTAGCCTCCTTGGGTATAGGTATACATGTACATGTGCATGCGTACACACGTGTTAGTGTGGTTTAGTGAGAGGAAGGATAGCTCTACCAAAGGTCCTCACATTTTATTAACTCCATGGTTTTCAAGTCAGGGCAGTTAGCTGGTTTATAAACTAGCCCTGATGACGTTTTTGGAATCTTTATTATGTATACAACATTCTGCCTCCATGTATGCCCACACACCAGAAGCAGACACCAGATCTCATTACAGATGGTTGTGAGCCACCATGTGATTGCTGGGAATTGAACTCGGGACCTCTGGAAGAGCAGCCAGTGCTTTTAAACACTGAACCATCTCTCCAGCCCCCGTTTTTGGTATCTTAAACATCAAACTCCTGTTTAACTATTAGACCTATCTTGGCCTGGGTTTCCAGATGAAGTATTTGAGAACTGCTTGGGCATTGGGACTGGTCAGTGTTCTTTAGTACCCTTGGCTATGAGTGCAAGGATCTCTTGTAGGGAAGTAAATTGGCTACAGTGGACCCACTTTTCTGATGGAAGCCCAGGATAGAAGCAGCTATTTGCTCCTATGAAAGATTTGCCCTTGGATAGTGACAGTGTTTCTGATTGACTTAAATTGTCTGTGTGTGTTGTTGCCTCCAGCTTGCCTGCACTACGTATGTGTAGTGCCCATGGAGGCCAGAAGAGGGCATCTGATCCCCTAGAATGAAAATCACAAGCACTTGTAAACCACCTTTTGGGGCCAAGGAACCCAGGTTCTCCGCAGCACGTTTTTGTTGTTTTTGATCTTTGAGATGGTTTCTCTGTAGCTCTGGCAGTTGTGGGACTAGCCTTGTGGACCAGGCTGATCTTGAACTCAGAACTCCGCCTGCCTCTGCCTCGAGGTGGAGTACTGGGATTAAAGGCCTGTGCCACCACCATCATCACTGTTTCCTGGCTGTTGCAAGTACTCTTAACCGCTCAGCTATCTCTCCAACAACCCCAAATTTTTGAGACGGGTCTCATAGTGTAACCCAGACTGCCCTTGACTCTTGACTGCTTGGTTTCCAGGTGTGCACTATCACACCTATGTGTAGGGTTCTTGCTTGTTTATGTTGTGTGTTTTTTGTTTTGTTTTTTAATAAACTTAGTGAAAGAAGTTTGAGTGGTGTGATTTCCAAATTTTTCATCATCAGAACACTTGATTCTTCTTTTCCCATGCATTAGATTTTGTTTGAGCCCAATTTTCCCAGGTAGCTTATGATGGATTTGAGTTCCAAAGATAGGCAGCTTTCAGAACTTTGTGAGATGATAGGTATCATGCCGATTAAAATCAATGCTTTTGTCATGCTGGGGTTTTTTGTAGTTTTGTTTGGTTGATTGGTTTTTCAAGATGGTTTCTGTGTGATGTCCTAGAACTCCTTTTGTAGACCAGGCTGGCCTTGAACTCAGAAATCCACCTGCCTCCGCCTCCCAGTGCTGAGATTAAAGGTATATGCCAGGGCTGGAGAGATGGCTCAGAGGTTAAGAGTGTTGCCTGCTCTTCCAAAGGTCCTGAGTTCAATTCCCAGCAACTGGTATCTCACAACCATCTCTAATGGGGTCTGGTGCCCTCTTCTGGCCTGCAGGCATACACACAGACAGAATATTGTCTGTGTATTATTATTTACATAATAAATATTTTTTTAAAAAATTTAAAAAAATAAAGGTGTGTTCCACCACACCCGACTTCCTGTAGAGATAGTTCTATTGATGATCATTTCTGCCATTATTACTAAAATACTGAAAATTAGCCCAAGAAATTTGATTCTTCCAAGGACTTTGGACACACTTAGCACATCATCGGGGTAAGGACAAAGGTTTAGGAAAGTACCCCTGCTGTGACCTGGGAAGGAATAACAGCACTGGCGGATGGCGGGTGTCTGTGTTTATGAGCTTCTAAGTTAGCGTTTAAATGGCTTTGGAAATAAAGACACCCTCCTCCCCAATTTTGTCTAATACATGTTCCTTTTTTTCAATAGTTAATATATGTACACAAAAGTCTTAGAGTCTATCATAAGTAGTAACTCCACTGTGACCTAGTTATTCCCTTTTTAGTTAATTTTTAAAATTTTGTTAACTAAAATTATTTAATTGCTATTGACCTGTTGTTTGGGGGCACCGAGATACAGGGATTAATTAGCAAAAAGGATTTTTTTTTTATTTACCCTCTTATTCAGTACTGACAAATACTCTGGAGCTGGAGAGATGGCTTAGTGGTTAAGAGCACTGACTGACTACTCATCCAGAGGACCTGGGTTCGACTCCCAGTGCCCATGTGGTGACTCAGAACCACCTGTGCCTCTGTAGACACTGCATGTGTGTGTTACATAGACATACATGCAAGCAAATCACCCATACACAAAGTGTAAATAAATCTCAAAAAACATTTTTGTAAAGAATATGTATTGTATTGTAGAAAACCCCAGTGTGATTCCCAGAACCCACAACAGGAGCTCACAACTGCCTGTACCTTCAGTTCCTGGGGACCAGATACCCTGATTTCCCAGACCCAGCAATTAGCCCAGCATGGTGGCACTCAGGAGGCAAAGGCAGGTGGATCTCTGAATGCAAGGCCAACCTGGTCTATATAGGGAGTTCAAGGCTAGGCAAAGCAACACCACCGGTGAGACCCTGTCTCAAAAAGAAAAAGAAAATTCAAACAATTTATTCCACTTCCAATCCTCTGCTAGAGATGAGATTATTGTTTTAATGTGCTGGGTTCCCAGAAGGATTTCATGATAGATTTTCCAGTGATGTTGCTCCTCTTTTTTTTTTTTTTTTTTTTTTTTTGTTTTGTTTTCTTTTCTTTTTGGTTAAGATCTTTCCAATGACACACACACAGCCAACATCCACAGCATTAGCAGGCTAGGATTTTTAAATTTTTTATAGGGGTGCTGTTTGACTCAGGGTTTCCTGGAACTCACTCTGTTGACCAGGCTGGCCTCAAACTCACAGATCCCCTTGTCTCTGTCTCCTGAGTCCTGGGATGAAAGGTGTGCTCCACCTTGTCTTGCTTGGTTTTGTTTTTGAGACTGTGTTATGTGAAAGGCAGAAGTTGCTACCCCAGCTTTTACATTGGCACTGAAGGTACAAACTT